GGATCAACTTCTGTCAAAATAACAAGTTATTTGGATCCCACGGTCAGAATACAATGTCCTGGCAGGAGGATTTTTTTTTCTTTCTTATTTTGGACTACATTTGCCTTGATGTGCTGCAGACAGGAAAATTAAATGTATATGGCAGCTGTAGATGGTTGGAATTGTTTTTTTTTTTTTTTTTTCAGAAAAGGTTATTTGATTTTATAAAATTAGGTTTATTTGTTTGTGGGATGGTCCTAAAAAGAGAAGTACAAAGACAAAATTTGGTAATTGTTATGATTGTAGTATTGGTTTGTTACTAGAGTTCTTGGATGCGGTGGCCACATTAGGGTTTAATTTTTTATTTTATATATAGGCAAAGCATATTTTCTGCAAGTACAGAAACATACCTGTTGCCCTTACAAGCAGACCAATGTCCTTGACATTCCCGTGCACTAAACAAATATCAGTTGAACCTCTGACTTCCCAGAGATCTTCTGTGGACTACAAAGCAATGTAATGGAGAGGAGATGAGCTGAGCATGTGTTTTGTAGTCTAAATCAGGAGACCAGCTTAGGGTGACAGTGCTGCTCTTCCATACAACCAATGAAGCTAAAAGTATAGTGTTACCGGAAGGATCATCAGGTGAAAATGAAGGGGTGCGGGCCTGAAATATGAAATTAAATGCTGCCACCACATCAAAGAATCTGCAATATATTAAAACTGAACTCTAGGAATTGATTTTCAAAACCACTGAGGATTCTCGCATTCATCATAGTAGTCTTTTGTCACATACATAAACGCTGTCCAGTATACCAGGTGGGAAATCTTTGCAGCACCAGAAACAGAAGGTAGTTGCTTTATTCCGAACTTGCACCATTCCGACAAATTCCTGTGTGGTGTTTTTTTTTTTTTTTTTTTTGTTTTTTTAATAAATGCAAGGTATTCTATGAGTGGACCAATATAGATTTTAGGGTCTTGGAGTTTAGTATTTTTTTTTTTTAATACAATTTAATGAAATAAAAACATGCACACCTATGTCACTATCCTGTTTTGTCTGCCAAAGGACAAAACCATAGCTCATGGTGCAATCAGATTAGCAATTTGGGCTCCCATGATTGCTAAGTGCACTTTTTAAAGCAGAACGCCAACCAAAAATGACATAGAAATTTTTTTCTGTGTGTTCTGTTTCCTCCACAATGCTGTCATAGTGTAGTTCTGAAAAGTACATTTTTCTGCAGTACACTGGATGGCACCACATGTCAACACACTGTGGCACACTGCACCTGATGCTGTGCAGGTACGTGAATGGTCACTTTGTGCACTTCAAATAAAGCATAAACCATGCGACATGCATCGTACCACCTTTTTACTGCAGCACACTTAAGGGCAAACCTGACGGCTTCATGTATGTTACAAAATTGAGCATTTGTTGTACAGGCAGTGTGAACAAGCCCTTGATTACAAAGCGGTGTTTAATTTTCTTTTTTTTTTTTTTTTTTACTTGGGTTTTAATGATGACATTTTTATTACTAGACCCAATTTTTCTTTGCGATTCCAAAATTGTGCCAAGAAATATTTTGAATTTCTACATTTCATTTTAAAATTTACTATTTGGGCTAGCTTTGATGCTTTATCCCAAATAACCTAACTTATGGTAAATTTGTGCATTATGCAGCAAGAAGTTTCAAAAAGTTCACACAAACCCACACCCTCGGATTTCTGCCAAACGGAAGACACGGTCCATAACGTTGCTGACTTGCTGCAACAAATTACTACTTTTAGGGCCTTGTTGCTAAAAGTAAATGGGTAAGGTTTCCTGGCTCGGATGGATATGATGCACCAACTTGGTATAATGTAGAAAATGCTTCGTAGGCTGTCAGATTGTTTGTTTGGATATTTTGCCCCAGGAATACAGGTGCTTCCCATCTTTTTCATGCTATTGGTATCTCTAGGCTACAAAGTGGATGCATAATGGGTATGGGCAGGGTTATCCTGTACTTGTCGATGGATTTTAGTTTGAGCTGTCTTAAGGATTCTAACAATTCCTGTGTTCCTGAAAAGAATATGTAAACCCAACATTTCATATTCCTGATGTGCCTGCTGTGCCATGTACTTGTATAAAAATTTATCCTGTTCTTTGTATTGCTTCCATTGTGTAAAATACCTGGTGTTCCTGCCATTCCCTCTTTCCTATTAAAAGCTGACAACAGTAGTTATCAGTGCACAGCATGGTCAGTTCTGTAGCTCTGCTGGAACTCTGCCTGCTGTCCTCCAATGATCAGGCCTTTCAACTCCCCCTTACACACACAGCCATTCACTGGGAAGAAGACCATTGTACTGCAGTTTCTCCTCCACAGCCCCTTATGCAGCCAAGAATAGAGATTGTGTGATCACTTAGAAAAAAGGGAAAACAAGTGTTTTTATATGTATTCATATATTACCAAAGGTTTTGCCTGTTTTTTTTATTTCTGTTTGAAACTGAATGGGTTGTTTTACAATGTGAGGGATCACAAATATGTTATGTAATTGCAAGGATATGAGTTTAATAAGCATTTATTCAGTGTAGATTTTTTTTTTTAAATGCAGCACGCTAGTGGTTATTTGGTTCAGTCCTAATTAGCAAGCTGTTGAATTGCGCATATAACCTCTGAGAGGAATTGTGCAAGTATATTTGTACAGCAAAATTTGGAGATTTGTAAGTAAAGTAAAGATTGTGATCATGGCCATAAGTATGCCTGTGCATTTAGCTTGAGATCTTTTCCTCTGCTGTTTCTAGGCAACCTTTCAGAGCTAAAGTACTGGTTGCTTGTGTGAACTTGGGAGTACATACAAACACTGTCTTTTTAACCCTTATTGATTACGCAGGATAATTTTTAAAAAAGTTTTTAGGGACAAAGTATGTCTTGATTGATGTGCCAGAATTGGTAGTGGGAGGCCAATAGGCTACCTCTTATTTTAAAATTGGGAAGGAGATTTATTTAAGGCCTGGCAGAATGACTGTTACAGCCACAAATGGGGTCAATTATATATACAGATTTTTCACCCTCATTTTTTTTACAAGAATTTATTATGGCTTTCTGAGTTAACATGGTTTTAACAGGCCTTTTGTGTATTTAAACCTACTAACTGTATTTTGTTTAAAGATACATTGCAGTCAAAATTGGGCTATCTGCACACAGACCTATATAGGCATAAAAATGTAAATGGTTTTTCTGTGGCAAGGGGAGCTGCAGGTAGCCAGTAGTCTCCCTTCTTGCATAGAAAGCTGCATAAATACATACGTTTTAAGTGATGGCCTGTTTCCACCCTCACCCTCCAACCTGCATGTCTTTTATTGCAGGAATCAGGAAAAACCTCCAATTGGGTAGCTGAAACATTTTAAATCATGAAATTCCATTAACTTCCCACCCAAAATGATGTGTTTAAAGATCTCAATGCCCCAGCTGTCCCAGACCTCTGGATCTATTATCACTGAGATGTGCGAATGAGTAGTGTTTCTCCAGAGGGGTATGCAGAGAGAATGTTGGTGCAATACTTTAGTCCTAGCTTTAGTCCATACTTCACGGGGGTAGTTTGCATAGGAAGAATGACATTAGAGTTGTATTGAATGCCTCTAAACCCAGATTGAGTAGTGTAGCGTACAATTCCAAAAGGGCTGCCTCAATGTCACCACATAACTAGCTGCCTAGTTGTATAATTTAAAATTGTCGGGGAGAACTGGCTCTTCAAGGTCTTCTCTTGAAAGTCTGGGGGTCCTCCCAGCCCAGACAAAGAAAATAACATCCATTTAAGTTTTAGGTTTGGGGGTTGAGGTCCTAAAGAAGTAGGTAAACTTTGGTAAGAAAACCATTTTTTAGAAAATCAGCTCTGCCTTGGGAACTCAACCAAAGAGATTTCCAAGTGTTACATCTTTCGGTCACTTGTCTAAGCAGCGTATTACCGCTGAACCAAAGTTCTAAACTAATAAAGTATTTGATCCCATTAACAAAACAAAGTGGCGTTTTGTCTCTTCTTTTGGTTGTGAAGGGGTAAGCAGAACAGTTCATTTAAATCCCTGAGAAGGAGCTGAACTCCTCTCTCAGCCACAGGGCTGATTGCAGGGAAGATGCTGTGTCCCTAAAGAGGACACAGTATTGTCTGCATAAAAGGATAGATTTCCTCTAACGGACCAATACCCACATTTCTAATGCGCTTATCCAGAACTTGTACAATTCTTGTCTGTCTTTGAAGATCAGTATTAGATTGTAACCTCCTGTTATATCCCTGTCTGACATGACAGTGTGTATTAGACCTATTCTAAAGTTAAAATCATTACAGTAGAACAGCATTTTGTGTGTGTGAAGGCTTAAAGAACTAAATTTAAAAATACATTTTAGCTCCAACAGTTTGATGCCCGCAAAATGCTGGGATCTTCTCCCTGCCTTCTTCTGGGCGTCAGTCTTCAGCCGCCTTGAATGACCTGTGCAGGATGTCGTCACTCCTGTGCACGCACAGAAATCCAACAATCCTTGCACACAGGCACTTTGACGGAATGTCAAGTGAGTTGCTCAGGCACAACTCTGTGTACATTCTGAAGATTGCGAACAGGCAGGTAAAATAAATTGCATGCCTCTTCTTCTTTAATATAGAAGCCTGTCTGTTTGCAATGTTACACTTCTTCTTCTTTTTTTCTTTTTTTTTTTTTAGGTCTGGCTTGCACTTGGGTTGTCCATGGATTGGAAAATCTGTGCACCCAATTTGTGAATAAGGGATGATGTCATTAGATTGGCTCATCTGACAGTAAAGTTGATTTTTGCAGAACGGTTGCATATGCATCTTAGTTTGTAAATATTTTTTCTTGTATTCTGCAGAATATGTTCTTGAAGAGAAATGTATAATCTGAGATGTTCCATTGGCAAATTACTTTGTGAAAAGATGTGAATTTGCTTGCAAAATACCATTCTAATAATGTTTATTGTGCGTGAGCACACATTCATGATCACATTTTAAACAATCTTTTTTCTAAATCTAGGTTTAAGATGGATGCTGCAGAAGAACCCCAAAAAAAGGTCTTTAAAGCTCGTAAAACAATGAAAACAAGTGATCGTCAACAGTTAGAAGCTATACACAAAGTTAAAGAGGACCTGTTGAAACCTACGGAGCTGAAACTTGTTAACGGAAACCATGAAAATGGTGATTCAGACATGAATTCTGTTCATAATGAAACAGACTCTTTGGAGGAAAAAAGTGATCTAAATGGTATCATAGATATTAACTGTGACAACAGGCATGTTGTGAAAGTCAACCTGTCTGACCTTAAGGATGGCTTAAGAAATGTTGACCAGGTTAGTAAGCTGCCAGCTGAATTTAATCTTCCTGAAAGTATAGCTTGTGAAGATGCAAGCAGGAATGTAACATGTGAAGAAGCTATTCAGACCTCTGTGGATAACAGTGATCCAATACATGATGAAAAAAATTCAACCCCTGCGACTAATGACCAAATTGTTTCAGAAGGATTGCCATTGCTTGAGAGCTTACCTGATGACGAGTCTTCAGAAGGACACTCTCACTCAAACATTCCCATGGAGGATGATGGCATTGTTGAAGAATCCTTAAATGATTCAGAAGACGTAAATCCTGTGGAAACATCTGTTGAAAAAGAGTGTGCAGATACAGGCACATTTGAGAACATACCTATTGATAAAGCAGAGACCCTGTCAGATATGCATGCCCTTGAGTCTCTTGATGCAGAGAGTATATCTTGTGGTAACGTAGAAACCCAGGAGAGTTCAGATAAGGACCATCAGGAAAATGAAAAAGACTTTCATGCCAGTGAAATACAAAACTCTGAAGAAGCTGAAAATAACGAGGAGGAGGAGGAGGAAATTGTAGAGTCAATAAATCTACAAGAAAACATGATTGATATGGATGTGGAAGAATCTGAGTGTTCTGAGAAAAAAAATGAATGCAAAACTGAGGACATTTCATCATTACAGGAGGATGTTGGTGAAGAAGCCATATCCAGCAGTATGGAGGTTGACCATACTTTGAAATCTGTAGAGCAGACTCCACCTCTAGCTGAAGAAGTCTCTCTTGATAAAACCGTTTCAGAATTGGAGCAAGGTTCTGGAGTAGAATGTCTAGATGCTATGGAAACAGATGAAATTATACCTATTCTAGAAAAGCTGGCACCAGTGCAGGATGATTTGCAGTGTTTTTCTAAGTCTGTATTGAGCTCTGAAAATTCTGTTGCTAATCCAGAAAAGGTTGAAAATACTACTGATTCTCCTAGCAAAAATGATGTCAGTGAAAGTTTACCAAGTGAGGCATTTTTAGTTCTTTCTGATGAAGAAGAACCCTGTGAAATTGCACCAGCCCAAGAAATCGCAGCCAACAGTGATCAAGGTAAATTGTTTTTTTAATGTATTATTATACAGGCTTTGTATAGCACCAACAGTTTGCTCAGTGCTTTACAATATAAAGGGAGACAATATAGCAACAATACAGTTCACTACAAGAGGGTTAGGAGGGCCCTGCTCCTTAGCGCTTACAGTCTGAAAGAGGGGCTGGTGATATAAAAGGTAACTGTGGAGGATGGACTGGTAGGAGGAATAAAAGATTCAGTTTTTTTTAGCTGAAGGCAGGATAGGCTTCCCTGAAGAGAGGTTTTCAGATATCGCCTAAAAGTGGGTAGAGTAGGCGATAGTCTGATAGATTGGGGTAGAGAGTTCCAGAAGATGGGGGAGGCTCTGGAGAAGTCCTGTAGACAAGCATGGGAGGAAGAGGCGAGGGAGCTAGAAAGCAGGAGGTCGTGGGAGGAGCGGAGAGGATGGTTTGGGTGATATTTGGAGACCAGATTGGTGATGTAATTTGGGGCAGAATTATAAATGGTTTTATGTTATTGTTTTAAATTTTATTTGTTGGGCAATGGGAAGCCAGTGGAGGGATTAGCAGAGAGGGATGGCAGATATGGATCAGTTAGTAAGGTGGATGAGTCTGGCAGCAGCATTCATTATAGACTGAAGCGGGGATAGCCTGCGATGAAGTAGGCCAATGAGGAGGGAGTTACAAAAGTCAAGGCGAGAGATAACCAGGGAGCGAATAAGTTGTTTAGTGGTTTCAGAGATTAAGAACTGTCGTATCTTGGAGATGTTGCAGAGGTGAAGTCTACAAGATTTGGACAGTGATTGGATTTGGGGCTGAAAGGACAGTCTAGGATTACACCTAGTACCCTGTCATGAGGGGAGGGACTGACGTTTGTATTGATCTTGATGGAGAAGTCAGGGGAGGGGGCACGGGCTGGAGGAAATAGTATGAGCTCCGTTTTAGAAAGTTTGAGGAAGCGGAGTGACATCCATGCCGATATGTCACTTATTAGGTTAGTAATGAGAGAGTAGACTGAAGAGGTGAGGAGTAGAAAGATAAGATTGTGTGTCATCAGAATAGAGATGATCCTTCAAGCCATGGGAGTTTATCAAATGACCAAGGGAGGAGGTGTAGATGGAGAAAAGAGATCCAAGGACAGAACCTTGAGGGACCCCTACAGAAAGGTGGAGTGGAGGAGCCAGAAATGGGTAACGCTGAAAGAGCTGCGATAGGTAGGAGGAGAACCAGGAGAGAGCATAGTCTCGGAGGCTAAGAGTGGAGTTTTTTGAGGAGGGGATGGTCAACTGTATCAAACTGCAGAGAGGTCAAGTAGTAAGAGTCTAGAGTAGTGGCCATTGTTTTTAGCAGTTCATTAGTGCGTTTTTTTAGTAGGGCAGTTTCAGTGGAGTGTAGTGAGTGAAAGCCGGACTGTAAAGTGTCAAGAAGGTGGTTGTGAGGTAGCAGCTCAGGCTTCGTTGGGTCCAGCGAGGGCTTAACTATGGGAGTGATGTGTGCATGCTTTAGAGGGGTGGGGAAGGCACCATTAGAGAGGGAGAGATTGAAGATGTGATTGAGGGAGCATAGGATGGAAGAAGAGGGTGACCATAGTAGTTGTGAGGTGACAGGATCCAGGATGTAGGTAGGTGAGACAGGCTTCTGAGAAAAACTTAGTGACTTCTTAGGTAGTAGCAAGGTCAAAAGAGGAAAGTGTTGAGGGAGGTTTAGTATAAGGTATGCCAAGTGGGATGGATGTCTGTGCAGAGGAAATGCTCCTACGAATTGCATCAATCTTGTTTTTGAAATTATTTGCAATCTCGTAAGCAGTGAGTGAGGTACTGGGTGGAGGTGGAGAAAGTTAAAAGTGGTAAAGAGACAGCGAGGACTGGATGACAATGTATTAATAAGAGTGACAAAGTAGGCTTGTTTGGCAGCATGGAGGGAGGAATTGTATGTTAAGAGAGCAGATTTATATAGGGTGAATGCTTGGTGATATTTGGTTCTACGCCACAATCGCACCAGTGCACGACTATGTCGCTTAAGAATTCTGGTGTCAGTCTGCCACGGTTGTAATGGTTGGGGCCTGATACTTCGTGTAGTTAAAGGATCAAGTGAGCCTAGTGTGGATGAAAGCGAAATGTTGTAGACATCAGTGGCCAGGTCAGGGCAGGACAGGGGAGACATTCTGTCCATAGAGGTGGTCAGTTGCAGAGTGGACAAGAGAAGGGTTTAAGTTGTGAAGGTTTCTGCGGGTAGATCTTTGCTGTTCGGAGGGATAGGTGTTTGATACACAATCTCATCAACTTCAGTGTCATCTTCAGAGGAATCTGGGTGTTTGTGAGGTTATAGGGAGTGCAAAGATGGGAGAAAACAAAGTCTAATGTATTCCCATCAGTGCGAGTGGAGGACTGTCCATTGTCAAAGATGAGTTGTGATGTAGCTGGGTTCACATTAATGGGGATGTTTGAAACGCCCCCTATCATTCTTGGAGATTTTGAGGAAAGGAAGTAGGGTAACCAGGCAGTGAAGTCATTAAAGTGGGACACCGATCCAGGAGGCCAGTAGATCACTGAAATCCTCAGAGAAATAGGAGAAAACAGCCGAATGCAGTTAGTCTAGAAAGAAGAGGATAGAGAGGGAGGGTTATGGAGGACTTGAAAGGTGCTCAGTGGGGATAGAAGCAAACCAACTCCACCACCTTTTTGACCACTGGGTCTGGGAAAGTGCTGTGGGAGAAGCAAAATCTGTTGCTTAAAGCCAGGTTTCTGTAATTGCTAGTAGGTTAAGGAAGTGGGAGACTAAAAAGGTCATGGACATAGGTGAGCTTATTACAGAGTGGGCAATCCAGAGTGCACATGAAAAAGGGAGGGTGATTTTTAGGAGCACGAGGATTGAGATTAAATTGCGTGGATTGCGGCTTTTCCTGTAGGAAGAAGGGTGCCTGGTGTTGGGGTGAGATACTGGAGAACCAGGGTTTGGGGAGATATCCCCAGCGGTTAGGAGGAGGGGTGAAGAAAGTAAAATGAGAGCGGGATGTATGAGTGCACATGCCTTCCTGTCCTGGTGTTTGGGTCAGCAGGTGAGTAAAGTGTCAGCAGGAGGTGATGAGAGCAGTAGTAGGGAGATGGTAGCAGTGAGGGTGAGATGTACAAGCTTTCAGGTGGAGCAGAGGGGTAAAGAAATGAGATTTTGAGAACAGAGGATAGTAATATGAAATGGAGTAGAGGCGGCATATTAAAAAGGTACATGGAGTGGGAATCAAACGTTTGTAGGAGATGTTTCCCAGGGTGTTTGCTTGCAGTCCCTTCAGCGTGCAGTAGAGTTCTTTGTTGTATCTTCTTGCTGCTTGAGTTATCCTGCTTTTTGAACTGCTCTGTTCAACTGCTGCTTCACACTCCAGCAGAAAGTGTACTCACGCAGGAAAAATGCCCCCCCCATCTGTGACATCCCCCATAAGCTGGTCTAAATTTATAGGGAGATAATCAAATGAGCAACTCTCTTCTCCGCCCCAATAAGAAACTGATAAGGATCACATGAATTTGGGGTGAGGTTGGTCAAAACCAGACCAGCCACACAGTCGCACCTTTTGTGTATTGATGTGATGCATTAAAAAGAAAACAAAATCTTGCCTGTTCCGTGATCGGTTTTAGCAAAACACAACATAGGGATAAATGGTAATGTATGCAATACATATAAAAATGCTCCACACCCAAAAGATATATTAAATGACCGTTATGCAACTTTCTAACACTTTTGCTTCCAGTAGGCGTTTGCTGCTTTGGTCTTAGCACCTTGGTACCCAGGTACCATCTTACAACTGCATTGGGACAGGAGGTATTTGTTCCAGCGACTAACATGGGCACTGGAACCCATTAATGCTTAACCTTTTTAGCTGTTGGATTTCTGATCCTGCTACTTATAGCTTCATAGGAGCGTTGTGTAACAGGCAATACAAATACAGTTCTTCCATATTGTGTTTGTTAAAAATGGAGTGATGTCATGCCACTTCCTGTCAGTAAGAAAGTTCAGGCAGTGCTGATTCAGCTTTGTCTAGCCATTCTTTTGCTGCAACAGATCACTGCTATATTAAAAAATAAAAACTGTTGCTGTAACTGCTTAGTGTTAGCTTTAGTTTTATTATTATTATTATACAGGATTTATATAGCGCTAACAGTTTGCTCAGCGCTTTACAGTTAGCTTTAATTTATTGCTTAAGTGCATCTAATGCTGTCCTCTCCCCAGATTTACTATGCTGTTGCCCAAAGATGTCTCTGGTGTGCCTCCATCCAAAGTAGAGAGAGAGGTCCTAAGACAAGTCTTACTGGCAGAATCACCAGGTGACAAAAAAATTAAAGAAAACAAATTCAGTTGCAACATTTAAGGATCGATAAGCTGCATTATATTTTTTTTGTGTTTTTAATACCACTTTAATCTATAAATTACTATTAGCTGGTAGAATAGGCGAATCGGTTGCATTTTTAGGCATAAGAGTTGTACTGAAGTTCTTCTCAAGACTAAAGATTGCCTGCCCCCCTTCAATTCTTCTCCTCTGATTTCTGTGATTAAGAGGGGGAAAAAAAGCTTTCTACTTAACGTCCGTCATGTGACACTACAGTCTCTTCTGTTTACTTCTGGTGAGTTCCTTCTTTGGGTGTCCACATTGCTGCGTGAGTGATGTGGACACTTCTAATTGGGTGTCCTGTGGCAAGGCCCTTTCAGGATCTAGAAGGAGGAGGGATTATTCTAGCAAGGAGACTGACTGACTGATTAGGGAATCGGTGGCACCAGGAAACTGCATTGGGAAGGGATCTAGTTGGAGGTTTTGGGGAGTATAATGCGCTTCACCAGTTGAGGACAATAAAGACCTTGCAGGATGGGTTTAGAGGAGAATGAGAGAGGGATGAGGGAGAATCCTATATTGTCTTTTGTGGGGCTTTGATGTGGAGTTTATGCAGTTCTCCAGACTCGGCAAATCAATTCTTAATTTTCAGCAGCTGGTGTTCCTGGACTACTAGATTCTCTGCAGGTCAGGTGAATGCTCAAATTCTATATATTCAAGGCGTATGTAGTTTCCCTTGAAATAATTTAGATTGGTATGAAGATTTTTTAACTTTATTTAACTGCAATTATTTAAGCTCATGCTGATGCTAAATATTAAATGACAGCATAAATAATTTAAAGCAATGATGTAAGCAAGAATTACTCTAATGTGCATGCCGATTCATCCTTCTAAACAGGAGGAGCTGGTATGCAAGTGGTTTAAGTATATAGCAATATACTGTAGCTTTGTATCTTTTTGAAATTGGGAAGTAATATTACCATAAATCTAATTCTAGTCCTTTTTCTACTTTTTTGTAGATTCTAGTAAACTTACTTCAACAGAAGCAGCAGTAGCTGAAGAGCAACAGAAACCACAGGAAAATGCAAGTGATACAGAAACAGAGAAGAGTAAGTATTTAACAGTGATTTATTAAAGTGTATATCTTGGTAATCCAGGCTGGGCCTGGGGATAGTATATCTCTATATGTATCTCACACACTGTGTGTGAGATAGATCTCATCTCTATCTCCCTATCAGTATTTGGGGCATCTGCCCTTACACACACATGAAGTTTAATGGCAACCCAGACTTAGTCCGTAGGGTTCACTATTGAGTTGGCCCACTCTTTGCAGCTATAACCGCTTCAGCTCTTCTGGGAAGGCTGTCTGCAAGGTTTCAGAGTCTATGGAAATGTTTGACCATTCTTCCAGAAGCGCATTTGTGAGGTCAGGCACTGATGTCGGATGAGAAGACCTGGCTCGCAGTCTCTGCTCTAATTCATGCCAAAGGTGTTCTGTCGGGTTTTAGTCAGGACTCTGTGCAGGCCAGTCACGTTCCTCCACCCCAAACTTTCACCCATCTATTTTATAGACCTTGCTTTGTGCACTGGTGCGCAGTCACGTTGGAATAGCAAGGGGCCATCCCCAAACTTTTCCCACAAACAGTGCATGAAATTGTCCAAAATGTCTTGGTATGCTGACGCCTTAAGAGCTCCCTTCACTGGAATGATGGGCCTAGCCCAAGCCCTGAAAAACAACCCCACACCGTAATCCCCAAATGACATACGGTGCATTGTAAATTAAACAAGGCAGGGTCCTGCGCGATGAAGGGCATGTTGCCTTGCAAGCTGTGTTAGTATAGGCAGTGGGGACTTCGGAAAAGTGCAAGAAAAGTAGTTGCAACCAGGATGACAGACGGGAGTATCACAGAAATCGGCCGAGGAACGGGTACAGGAAAAAAAGTACGGAAGGAAAGGAGAGAGAATCATAGATGAGAGAGAGAGGAGCATGAGAGGTAGGGAAAAAGAGAGGGGAAAAAAAGGGGGGGGGGGGAGAGAAGTGTGAGGAGGGAGGGGTTGGTGAAGGGTATGAAAAGGAAACTAAGGGGAAGAGATGAGGTACAGTGGCAGAGAAGGGGCAGGGGAAGATTGCAGAGAGAGGAGGTTTGGTAACGCAATAGGAGGGAGGGGGAAGGGGGACGGTGAGTTATAGTATAGACCGTGAAGTACTCGCAAACCCTTGAGAAAGAGCCCGATCAAAACCAATGCCATCTGTTTTATATAATGCAGCGCTACGGTCCCAGCGACAGATCGGGATTTGTAGACGTACAATGTAAAGGGGTCAGAGAGAGCGCCTATGGGTATATATGCGTTATTCTCAACTTGAGCTCTCCTCGGGTAGAATGCTGGTGGGGAGTGCCCATAAGGCTATGGTATTCCGAGGTAGTTTGAAAGTGAATCCAACAGGACCAGGTGTGGGAAAATTTTTGTAGGATTGTCCTAAGACGTAGTGATCAATTCTTCCATATCCGCAATTATACCAAGGCGGATAAGCTAATCACGTACTGAAGGGACACTAGTAGAGCCTCACAGGACAGGAATACAGAGTCTAGCAGCATTGATCATATGCACTGCTAACAATTTAAGATACAAACGTCCAGGGAGGGAGGTGTGATGAAGAAGCTGGGCCGCAGTGTATTCGAGGGTGGAGACTGAGGAAGTAATTTGATGCACCTCCCTCCAATAGGGTTGTATAGAAGGGCAATCGATGGGGGTTGGGGGAAAAAGGGGGGGGGGGGGGGTTGGGGTTAGAGGGGGGGGGGGTGGGGGGGGGGGCGGGAAGGAGATGGGAGGGGGGAGTATACAGGATTGGTCAGTAAGAAAGGGGGAATAAGAGAGAGAAAAGAGGTTTTGGAAGTGAGAATAGACCAACTATGTCAAAAATGAGACAGGAAGAGATTTACTGGAAGTGATCAGTAACCGCTCACAGAGCCTACTGTGTGGGGAACGAGAGTGGCATAGATCCAAATGGGGAGTCACCGCATTCAGGGGGAGCCCTAGATCTTTGAAAGGGGTGGGTGAGAGTATCTCTCAGCAGTCTCTTTGTAAAGGGGGATATATGGTATAAAGTGTATGGCTAAATCATCCGGCGGTAGTGTATTCTGGGAGGGGGGTAGGGGCAACTGAGTAGGCACAGCAGGAAATCTGGAATCAATCTACTGATTGTGAGACATTAAGTGTGTGAATAAGGATATAGGAAACAGAGTTTTGCATGATGTCCCCCAGGGGGCGAAGCAGTGGTGGTGTGTATGCTGCCAGGCCAGTTGCGTCAATGGGAATCGGGGTAGAGGCCTAGCAGAGCTGGAGAAGAGCACACTGAAAAGAATAAGGCAAAATACTGAAACCATGCATGAACATTATGCAAAAATTGAGGGAGCATGAGAAATACAAACAAATTACAAAACAATCATATGACAACAGGCAAATGACCCATATCAACGTGACCTACAGGTGAAACTCGAAAAATTTGAATATCGTGCAAAAGTTCATTTATTTCAGTAATGCATCTTAAAAGGTGAAATTTAATATGAGACATTACCTGCAAAGCAAGATAGTTCAAGCCGTGATTTGTCATAATTGTGAGGTATATGGTTTACAGTTTATGAAAACCCCCAAATCCATAATCTCAGAAAATTAGAATATTACATGCAATCAATAAAACAAGGGTTGTACATAGAACAATATCGGACCTCTAAAAAGTAGAAGCATGCATATGTACTCAGTACTTGGTTTGGGCCCCTTTTGCAGCAATTACTGCCTCAGTGTGGCGTGGCATGGAAGCTATCAGCCTGTGGCACTGCTGAGGTGTTATGGAAGATCAGGATGCTTCAATAGTGGCCTTCAGCTCTTCTGCATTGTTCGGTCTCATGTCTCTCATCTTTCTCTTGGCAATGCCCCATAGATTCTCTATGGGGTTCAGGTCAGGCGAATAATCCCACGGTCATTGAACCAGGTTTTGGTACTTTTGGCAGTGTGGGCAGGTGCCAAGTCTTGCTGGAAAATGAAGTCCGCATCCCCATAAAGCTTGTCTGCGGAAGGAAGCATGAAGTGCTCCAAAATCTCCTGGTAGACGGCTGCGTTGACCCTGGACCTAATGAAGCACAGTGGACAAACACCAGCAGATTACATGGCTCCCCAAATCAACACAGACTGTGGAAACTTCACACTGGACTTCAAGATACAAACGTCCAGGGAGGGAGGTGTCCATACTCTGGGTCCTTTGTTTCCAAATGAGATGCAAAAGTTGCTCTCATCAGAAAAGAGGACTTTGGACCACTGAGCAACAGACCAGGTCTGTTTTTCTTTAGCCCAGGTAAGACGCTTCTAACATTTGTTGTTCAGGAGCGGCTTGACAAGAGGAATACGACGTTTGAAGCCCATGTCCAGGATCCGTCTGAGTGTGGGGGTTCTTGATGCACTGACTCCAGCCTCAGTCCACTCCTTGTGAAAGTCCCCAACACTTTTGAAAGTCCTTTTCCTGAGAATCCTCTCCAGGCTGCAGTCATCCCTGCTGCTTGTGCACCTTTTTCTTGCACACTTTTCTCTTCCACATAACTTTCTAGAAATGTGCTTTGGGAACATCCAACTTCTTTTGCAATTACCTTTGTGAGGCTTTCCCTCCTTATGGAGGGTGTCAATGATGGTTTTCTGCACAACTGTCAGGTCAGCAGTCTTTCCCATGATTGTGATTCCTACTGAACCAGACTGAGAGACCATTTAAAGGCTCAGGAACCCTTTGCAGGTGTTATGGCTTAATTAGCTTATTAGAGTGGGGCACTTTGAGCCTAGAATATTGCACCTTTTTCACAATGTTCTAATTTTCTGAGATTGTGGATTTGGGGTTTTCATGAGCTGTCAGCCATAATCATCAGTTATGTCAAATCACGGCTTGAACTATCTTGCTTTGCATGTAATGAGTCTATCTCATATATTTCACCTTTTAAGTTGCATTACTGAAATAAATGAACTTTTGCACGATATTCTAATTTTTTTGAGTTTCTCCTGTAGATGACAGCCTAAATAATGGACATAACCTCACCAGGGGCAAGGATGAATAGAGTGGGCCAGGAAGAAGGCGGAGGCTCAAGAAAAGGGGACTATGGGTGAGGGCCCCCGCTTAGGACAGAATGGAGGCTAGAGACTAAGTTGAATACTGGGAGGAATGACACAGTATGGCCTCACATCACTTGGTCCTTTTTCGCGTTCTGTTCAGGGGTGTCCCTCACCTCCGTCTTCCGGGATTCTGATAAGGGATGGCAAGAATCGGTACATGCTTGGTTATTGGTGAAAAGTATGGTGATAGTTTTTGTGACCATACCATCCGACCGTGTGGTCTCATGTCGAAGCAACAGGATGCAGCAGGTAAAGAATGTCCAGTTAGTGCGACAGGAGCAGATGTGGGAGTCCGTCTTATAACCGTTCAAGCGAGATCCAAAAGGATATCAGACTGTGGAAGAGCGCCCTCAAATTTTTAACCTGAAGGCCTTGATATGTCTGTAGCGACCCTCATTTGTGTGTAAGCATGAGTTGTACAGTTCCAAGGCAAGAAGGAGAAAGTTGGTCTACCGGGAAAGCCGGAGACTAGGAGGAAGGCGGGTGAAGAATGAAGAAAGCGGGAAAACTGATTCATGCTTAATAAAGTGACATAAAATAAACAAAGTTGATGATAAAAATATTGATAAAATGATGAATTAAAAAATATAAAAAAGTGAGAATCCAAACGAAATGTGCCAGAAACAAAATCCCATCAGTTAATGATATTAGTAAAATAAAAAATCCAATTGATTCCTGTGTAAAAGCAAACTTAATGCAGAGTTCAGCAAGTAGGTAACTTCAGCATACTCTCCTTACAGTAGCCTATGGTTGTATAGGTGGGATTGTGTAGATAGGAAGCTGCAGTGTGAGCCTGTGTTTCTAATAAACTAAGTGGCGCAACGCGTTTGGGAGGGGCAGTGACGTCACTACGTATCCGACTACCTGGCACGGCGAGTACGGACAGTGTGTGCACACCTACGAGGCTGGTTCCCACCGCACTTAGCGGTTTATTACAACCTACCTCAGAGACATGGTCAAGGTAAGGAATGCTGAAACTCGACCACCATTGGATAAGACACATAAATTGAAACCTCAAGCCTGGGCCAAGAAATAACTGAAAACCGGTTTGTCAAAGGTTTTATGAACTGATGAGATGTGTGACTCTTGACGGACCAGATGAATGGGCCCCTGGCTGGATCAGTAACTGGCACAGAGCTCCACTTCGACTCAGACGCCAGCAAGGTGGAGGTGGGGTTCTGGTATTTAATTATGAGCTAGTTGGACCTTTTTCGGGTTGAAGATGGATTGAAAATCAACTCCCAAAGCTACTGCCAGTTTTTTAGAAGACCCTTACTTCAAGCAGTGATGCAGGAAAAAGTCTGCATCTTTCAAGAAGACCACGATATTTCTGCAGGACAGTGCTCCATTCTATACTTCAAAGTACTCCACTGTGTGGCTTGCCAGTAAATGCCTTTAAAGATGAATGGCATGAACCCCTTCCTCACCTGGCCTAAGCCCTATTGAGAACTTGTGGGCCCTTCTTAAATGGGAGATTTATGGTGAAGGAAAACAGTACACCTCTCTGAACTGTCTGGGAGGCTGTGATTGCTGCTGCACAAAAATGTGATCTCAACAGATCAAGAAACAGACACTCCATGAATGGAAGGCTTATGATTGTTCTTAAAAAGGGTGGCTTTTTTTTTTTTTTTTTTTTTTGCTGAATCCACTAGGATTGTGTATAAAACTGACAGGCATACTCCTGCCTGATTTGCTTCAATAGCCCCTGATACCAGTTGTTTGCCCTAAAATTCACTTGTGTGTTTTTACTGAAATTTTTGCACTTCCTAGACCTTTGCGGTAATGTCATGTGGCATAAAAAATTGGAACCACCACTATTTAAATTCTCTAGGGTGTCTGCTTTCAGAAAGTGTGTTTTTTGGGGCCTTTTAATCTTCAGGCCTAAAATTATTTTTAGATGTTTGCAAAAAAATGGCGGACTACGAAAGGATAAAAGCAAGTGGTTTTATCCGTTTCTTCAGTTATAACACGGCATACGGGCGCAGCTTAACCTAGCGTCTCTCTCCAAGCCCATAGTTGATATTGTACAGGCACCCTTAACTAAAGGATGGATTTCTGTTAGCATATGTGATGCTATTGGATGGCTTTTTACTGAAGTTCCTATTAGTATGTAGATATAGACATACATGTGCTCTCAGATGAAATCTGAAATGTCTTGCAATCCCTGCAACAAATTTTCTTTCTCATAAGGACATATCTCTTCCATAGACAGGTGCCGCTCCAGACTCTGCATAAAGATCCCAACTTTGTAGTCAGGGTCATTCCCCAGCCCAGACCTGGCTAAGTGGTGCTTTTCAGCTGAAAATGGGTCACAGTAGTGCAGAATGAACTTCACCCTTGTGATCCACAGAAATACATCCAAAAGAGCTCCTGTGAAAAACATATTCGGGAAACTCTGTGTAAATATTGATGTCGTATGGTCTCTGGATGGAATATATGTATCCTCGTGTGTCTATTTATTACACAGTAGTTCCCCCCCCCCCCCCCCCCCCCCATAACAAAATAGCAGTGTATGTTAGGGCAATAACTATATGCTGTATATCCAATACATGCACAGTTTCCCACGTTCTATTCTTTTAAAGGCTCTGTAAATATAGAATATGTTCACACTAGCCTGCATGGTAAAATGCAGGTCACCACACATAGTGGGACCAAGCCCTTTTATAATCATTCTGGTCCAAAGTCATGTCGTGCAGGGACAACAGGATTTCTGTGGACTGAGTGGTGTCATCCTGTCACTTTTCTTTAGCTAAACACGAAGTGTATGTGCAGAATTTTTAAATGCAATTGCCGGTGCTTTTTTTTTTTTTTTTTTTTTTTTTTTTCTTCCTTCTTCACTATAGCTCACAGAATTAGCTGTCACTTTCCCCATAGTTAAAGGAAACATTTTTTCTCTGAACTCAGGAGAAAATAAACTAAAACAAAACTTTTTTCTTTTAGCTGGGGGGGAAAGTGAGAGCTGAATTTCTGAGCTATAGTGAAGAAAAAAAAAGCAGTAATTTAAATTTAAAAACCGGCACCATAATAAATAAAACTGCGTGGGTCCCCCTTCCCATCTATATCAAGCCCTTTGAATCTGGTATGGATTTTGAAGAACTCCCACACCAAAATTAGAAAAAAAAAAAATGGCGTGGGAGTCCCCCCAAAATCCATACCAGACCCTTATCCGAGCATGCAGCCCATCAGAAAAGGCACCCCCCTACCTTCTGAACAATACCAGGCCACATTCCCTCAACATGGGGGGCGTGCTGTGGGGCAGGGGGGGCTCCCCCCCCCCCCCCCCCCCAAAGCACCTTGTCCCCATGTTGATTGAAACAAGGGATTTTACCCCACAACCATGGCCGGTGGTTGTGGGGGTTTGCGGGCAGGCGGGCTTATCGGAATCTGGAAACCAAGCGGGCCCCTAGATCCCGCCCCCCTCTATGTGAATGAGTATGGGGTTCACATTCACAAGAAACGGTGTAGTGTGAAAAGACAGGACACTGTCTTTGACCAGACCCGAAGGGCTTGGTATGGATGGGAGGAGGGACCCCACGCCGTCCTGCAGAACGAATTAGTTGTAAACCTAGGTATTCCTATACACAGTTTGCACAATCTCATAGCAAACATGTCCTGCTATCATGCCTAGGAACCCCTGCAAAATCCCTAATGCGCAACTATCTTCGATAGTCTATAGACTAATCATAATTTTTGTTTTATTCAAGGAGCTTGCAAAAACGGACTCAGTGTGTGGATGGTGGAATCCTCCCCTGTGAGTTATTGTATTTGGAAATTTCCCCACTGTCAGAATACACTGATAGACTTTCCAGGCTATAGCAAGCAGCACTAATCAAGCAGGGAAAATCCGGTTGTGCCGATGTCGACCTCCCCGCCCATACATGGATCGATATTCGGTCAGTCCCTGCTGAACCCGAATTCTGATCCCTCTATAGCTAGCTTTAGTTTTTAGATTAACTGATAGTTGACATATTTTTCTAGGTGCTGTATCATGTAAAATATACAGTGGCTAAGTGATTAGCACTTCAGCCTAGCAGCATTAGGGTCATCGGTTGGAATCCCAACCGTGGTGCTACCTGCCTGGAGTTTTTCCCTGTGCCTGCGTAGGTTTTCTCTAGGTACTCAAATTTCCTCTCACACTCCACAGCTACGCAAGTTGACGGTGCTGTAGAAGTACCTGAAATAATTAATGGATGGTTCTGATTATCTTAAAGTAGACTCTCGTTTTAGGTATGTGTTTTTGGTTTTGGTTTTTTTGACATGCAACAATGTACATATTAATGGTTAGATTTTGTTGATAGGTGAAGCACCCCACCGAAAGCGTTCAAAGTCTGAAGACTTGGATGGCCAGAGCTCCAAGCGTAGGCGCTTTGAAGGTGAAGAATATGAAGCAGAGCTTAAAGTTAAAATAACTGCAGGAGATGATCTCAACCAGAAGTTGCAAAAGGTATGAAGTTTGAATTGTTACAGAATGGTAAACAATGTTACCCCAGTGTTTTAAGCCCTTTCACATGAGCATTAAATGTTTGACCTGTGATTAAACAAATCAAAAATTGACTGCGGTGTCCCTGTGGGTGGCTGGATGTGCAACCAGCTATATCCTCCCTCATCTAGATCTGTTCAGGTTTGTCAGACTGAATTCAATAAGTATGCATCCAGGTCAGCTTTGACTAACCTGAATGAATGTGGGTGAATATAGGTGGATGAACATCACCTACATCCAGCCACCTATAGATATTGCATGGGTTCCTTTTTTTTTTTTTTTTTTTTTTTTTTTTTTTTTTTTTTTTTTGTGAAAATCATCCCTTCTGATACACCTCACCAGAGAATTGTTCTGTGGAACAGAGGTTGCCACTGAATACACTGGCCCTGCTTTGACAGCTAACAGGGGATCCTCTCTTCCACCCACCTGGCCCTGTCACTCATTTACAGTCCTCTGTGAATAAGACACTACAAGTCCTGACATCTTTAGCGGCTGTCGACTTGTAGTTCTCAGTGAATGAACTACCACGACGCTGTGGAACGCCGTGGTAGTTTGATTCTTGCTCGCAAGCAGATATACTGACAGATCTGCAGGAGACCTGCATGGCACCAGTGATCTGATCGCAGGTGCAGTGATTTCCAGGTTCCTGCTTTTTTTTTTTTTTTTTTTTTTTTTTTTTTTACCTGCAAAAGTGCATTAATTATTTTTGGTAAAAAGGTGAACTTATCCTTTTAACCCCTTCCCAGCCAGTGTCAGTACAGTGTCAGTGCATATTTCTAAGCACTGTTCACTGTATTGGTGTCACTGGTACCCACGAGGTGCCAGTTAGTCCGATTTTGTCTGTCTCCGCTACTACTAGTATAAAAAAAAAATTTGTGTGTGTATATACTGCCATTTGTAGACACTAACTTTTGTGGAAACCAATCCATACGCTCATTAGGATTTTTTTTTTTTTAACCAAAAATATGTAGCAGAATACATATTGGCATTTATGGAGTTTTATATACATGTAATTTTTTTTTTTTTTTTTTTTTTACGTTTTTAGCCCTGCTAGGCAAGCAGCAGGGTTTACTTTTTTTTTTTTTTTGTGGAGCAGACACCGGTGAAGCATGAACAGATCTTCATGCTACACCAGAGTTAGCAGGCACTCCACTTATCCGTGCTGCTGTCTTGTGCAGGCAGTCCCCTTTCCGCCAGTCTCTCACTAGCTCGGCAGTTCAGTCAGCCCATCCACTCCGCACGGCGGCCCCGTATAGTCCTGGCCACTCCCACACACTTTACTCTCTCCCGCCTCCTCAGCACTCACTTCTCTCATTTATATCCCTCCCGCATACACCTCTCACCTCAGCACTCACTCTCCTCTCCATTGGCCACCCCCCCCTGGGCAGGCCGTCTGCATACACTCTGCCACCCCCCACGCTGCATGCCGCCTCTGGAACTGGGCAGGCCGCCTCTGGCCACCCCCCACGCTGGGCAGGCCGCCTCTGGCCACCCCCCACGCTGGGCAGCCGCCTCTGGCCACCCCCCACCTGGGCAGGCCGCCTCTGGCCACCCCCCACGCTGGGCAGGCCGCCTCTGGCCACCCCCCACGCTGGGCAGGCCGCCTCTGGCCACCCCCCACGCTGGGCAGGCCGCCTCTGGCCACCCCCCACGCTGGGCAGGCCGCCTCTGGCCACCCCCCACGCTGGGCAGGCCGCCTCTGGCCACCCCCCACGCTGGGCAGGCCGCCTCTGGCCACCCCCCCACGCTGGGCAGGCCGCCTCTGGCCACCCCCCACGCTGGGCAGGCCGCCTCTGGCCACCCCCCACGCTGGGCAGGCCGCCTCTGGCCACCCCCCACGCTGGGCAGGCCGCCTCAGGCCTCTGGCCACCCCCCACGCTGGGGCAGGCCGCCTCTGGCCACCCCCCACGCTGGGCAGGCCGCCTCTGGCCACCCCCCACGCTGGGCAGGCCGCCTCTGGCCACCCCCCACGCTGGGCAGGCCGCCTCTGGCCACCCCCCACGCTGGGCAGGCCGCCTCTGGCCACCCCCCACGCTGGGCAGGCCGCCTCTGGCCACCCCCCACGCTGGGCAGGCCGCCTCTGGCCACCCCCCCCCAGGCCGCCTCTGGCCACCCCCCACGCTGGGCAGGCCGCCTCTGGCCACCCCCCACGCTGGGGGCCTCTGGCCACCCCGCCTCTGGGCAGGCCGCCTCTGGCCACCCCCCACGCTGGGCAGGCCGCCTCTGGCCACCCCCCACGCTGGGCAGGCCGCCTCTGGCCACCCCCCACGCTGGGCAGGCCGCCTCTGACGTGATGGTCAGAGGTGTGATTGCAAGGATGGTCAGCCTTAATTACTTTTTTTTTTTTTTTTTTTTATTGAAACTGTATCAGGACAAGTAGATTGGGACCCTGATTTAGTCCCTTGGACAAGTAGTCTTTTAAATTTCCTCACCCCTGATATAAATATAGTATAAAAATCACACACACACACTTTTTAATCAGATTATTTTCCTGATTTTTCTTTTCCCTGCTCCATCTTTTCTGACTGTTTTTTCACTGGTTTTGCATTTATTAGGGTTAGTGTCACTACTGGTAGCATGAGGTGATACCTAGACCGTATATAGAGGTTGCACAAGCAGTCCAAATCCTCGAGGATGGCACATCAAAACGCACCATTGCCAGAAGGTTTGCTGTATCTTCCAGCACTGTCTCAAGAGCATGGAGGAGATTCCAGGTGACGGGCAGTTACTCTAATAGAGCTAGACAGGGCCGAAGAAGGTTCTTAACCCATCAGCAGGACCATAATCTGTTCCTTTGTGCAAGGATTAACAGGATGAGCACTGCCAGAGCCCTACAAAATGACCTCTAGCAGGCCACTGGTGTGAATGTCTCTGACCAAACAATCAAACAGACTTCATGATGGTGGCCTGAGGACCAGACATCCTCTAGTGGGCCCTGTGTTCACTGCCTGGCACCATAGAGCTCGATTTGCATTTGCCATTGAACACCAGAATTGGCAGGTCTGCCACTGGCACCCTGTGCTTTTCACAGATGAGAGCAGGTTCACATCTGTCACATGTGCTCAGGGTGAAAGGGTCTGGAGAAGCCGTGGAGAACATTATGCTGCCTGTAACATCATTCAGCATGACCGTTTTGGTGGTGGGTCAGCGAGGGTCTGGGAAGGCATATCCGTGGAGGGATGCAAAGACCTTTGCAGGCTAGACAATGGCACCCTGACTGCCATTAGGTATTGAGATGAAATCCTTGCATCCATTGTCAGACCCTATGCTGGTGCCGTGGGTCCTGGGTTCCTCCTGGTGCACAACAATGTCCGGCCTCATGTGGCAAGAGTATGCAAGCAGTTCTTGGAGGATGAAGGAATTGATATTATTGAATGGGCCCCCACGCTGCCAGGTTGCACCTCAGACTGTCCAGGAGCTCAGCAACACCCTGATCCAGATCTGAGAGGAAATACCCCAGGACACCATCCATGCTCTCATTAAGAGCATGCCCCAACATTGTCAAGCATGCATACAAGCACGTGGGGCCATACAAAATTCATACAATGAAATTTCAGCAAAATGAACTAGCCTGCTGCAACTTTTTTTTTTTTTTTTTTTTTTTTTCTTTTTTTCTTCCCATTTTGATTTTCGGAATGTCTTTGAATTCAGTCCTCAGTAGGTTGATTATTTTCATTTCCATCAAATGATGGGGCAGCCTTCTATTCCTAACACATTACCCAGTCCATATCCGTATAGATATCCAGCATGATATTATTTTCTTTCCCCATTTGAAAACACATCAGATCTCAAAGTGTTTGTTTAAAATATTATATATATATATATATATATATATATATATATATATATATATAAATAATGAAAATATAAATAGATTTTTTTTTTTTTTTTTGTCAACTGTCACCAGTGCAGTACAAAGTCAACTGGTGTGGGCCCTTAGGTCCCACTCGTCCTTGGTGGTTTCGACCAGCCAGGAAGCACAGGTGCAGCTAAAATGTGGTATGCTGTACTGAGCTGCAGTCACATTAAGGGCTGTATGAGTTTAGTGACATGTGCTCTGAATGCAAAATTCCTGCGTTTGGGTAATGTCCCTAAATGCATGCAGACATGTACAGCTGGGTTCAGTATTCTTGCACTTTTTTTTGACAGGCTGCTTGCAGCAGGACTGGATGTTGCACCTGTGCTTCCTGGGTGGCTGGAAATGCTGGTATTTAACCTGCAGAGTTTTATTCCACCTCCAAATCGCTGCCATTGTAAAATCAATAATTTTTTGTTCATGCCAGATAGTACAGGTTTCACTGTTCCTCCCTCTTGCCTGCTGTGGTTCACGCTGTTGTCGTTTATTTGCCTCCCCTTTTAGTTCAGTCTAAGCTCCATTCTGTGAGGGAACAATTTACAAGATATTAGGTGTTCTGTTTATGGACAAGGGCAGTGGGGGCACACAAATACTAGCAAGAGCTGCAGCTCTTATAGCCACAGCAAGCTGGAAGTTCCAAAAAAGTGTTAATTTTACTGTAAGGAACAGCAAAATGGACATGGGATATAAACCTCAAAGGTAACCTTTTTACACAACAGACATTAGAAAAAGCTTTCTACAGTTCAGCTAATCTAGCAGAGAGAGTAGTCTCCCAACTTTTAGCTTGACCCAAGTTTGCAATATGGCATAGGGAAAGGATCCATTCATGCAGCTGCATCAGGATGTATATGTAGCACATTAGGTTTAAACAAATTTATTTACTCTGGAGAAATTGGAGTAAGTGGGTATTTAGAATTTGTAGATCTCCCAGTAAAGATGGAACCGGATCTTGAATAAATTAAAAAAAAAAAAAATCTGTTTATCAGCAACATTACAAGATAAGATGTTCCTCTAGCTGACCCACCTCTAAACCATAAATTGGGGAACAATTCAGGGGGCTGTTAAAATAGATTGAATCTTTAGGATAAAAATAATCTGTGAAAGGAAA